AGGTCTTCTTCGTTCAACTTTGGTAATTCATATGTATCTAGGAATCTGTCCATTTCTTCTGTGTTTTCCATCTTATTGGTGTATAGGTTCTCAAAATAGGTATTGATGATCCTCTGGATTTCTGCTGGGTCCATTGTAATTTCATCCTTTTCATTCCTAATTGCATGGATTTGAGCCATTTCTTTCCTTTTTCTGATAAGGTTGGCTAAGGGTTTGTCAATTTTGCTTATTCTTTCAAAGAACCAACTCTTGATTTCATTGATTTTTTTCTATCATTCTCTTAGTCTCCATTGCATTGATTTTTGCTCTGATCTTTATAATATCCTCCCTTGTATGAGCTTTGGGTTTGTCTTGCTCTTCTTTTTGTAGAAGCTTGAGGTTAAATCAGGTTGTTTAATTGGGCTCACTCTGTTTTCCTAATATGAGTATTCACTGGTATGAATTTCCCTTGTAAAACTGCTTTCATTGTGTCTCATAGATTCCAATATGTTGTATTGCCATTGTCATTTAATTGTAAGAACTGTCTGATTTCTTCTTTAATTTTTTCTGTGACCCATTGGTTATTCAGAAGTGTGTTGTTCAATTTCCATGTGTTTATGAATTCTTGCGGTTTCCTTTGCTATTGATCTCCAATTTCATCACACTGTGGTGTGATAATATACAGGGGATAACCTCAATTCCTTTGCACTTACTTAAACATGTTCTATGAGCGAGTATGTGTTCTACTTTGGAGAACAACCTGTGTGCAGCTGAAAAGAATGTGTATTCTGATTTTGTGGGGTGGAACACTCTGTTAGGTTCATTTGTTCAAGAGTTTGATTGAGTTCTAGTATTTTGTTGCTTATTTTTTGTCTAGTTGATCTATCTATTTGTGACAGTGGGGTATTGAGGTCCCCCACTACTATTGTATTAGTGCTTATTTGATTTTTCATGTCTGTTAGTATTTGTTTAATATAGTTGGGTGCACTAGTGCTTGGTGCATATATGTTTATGATTGTCATCTCTTCCTGTTGGATTGTTCCTTTTACAAGGATGTAGTGTCCTTCTTTATCTCTCTTAATCAGTGTGGGTTTGAAATCCACTTGACCTGCAAGGAGGATAGCTACTCCTGCTTTTTTTGGGGTTCCTGTCACATGGAGTATTGGTTTCCACCCTTTAACTTTCAGTCTATGAGTTTCTTTTTGAATTAAGTGTATTTCTTGTATGCAGCATATTGTTGGATCTTGCTTCTTTTTTTTCGGTACCAGGGATCGAACTTGGGTCCTTGTGCTTGTGCAGCAGGTGGCAAAACCACTGAGCTAAATTCCCGGCCCAAGATCTTGCTTCTTGACCCATTCTGCCAGTCTATTTCTTTTGATTGGTGAATTGAGACCATTAACCTTGATGGTTAAAACTGATACATATTGACTTATTCTTGTCATGACTCTTTCTTTTTGTTTGATTCTCCCCCTCTGGATTTAATTTCTTGTCGTGCCCAATGGATTCATTCTGCTGGACTTCCTGGGGTTGTGATCCTCATTGTTTTTTCCTAGGATATTGTCTGAAATTTTTTAGAGTCCTGGATTGGTGTTCATGAAGTTCCTAAGGTGCTCTTTGTCATGAAAGTATATTATTTCTCCATCAATTTTGAAAGATAGTTTTGCAGGGTACATCAGTCTGGGTTGGAGGCTGTTTTCCTTTAGTGCTTGAAATACATCACTCCAAGATCTTCTTGCCTTGAGAAGTCTGCTGTGATTCTGATAGGCTTTCCTTTGTATGTGATTTGTTTCTTTTCTCTTCTGCTTATAGAATTTTGTTTTTCTTTTTGGTTTCTGGAATCTTAACTATTATATGCCTATGTGTAGATTTTTTTTTTTTATCAAGCCTAGTTGGAGTCCTATATGCCTCACTTATCTGTATGTCAAGTTCTTTTCCCCTGCTTTGGAAGTTTTCTGCCATCACTTCTGTGAACAGTTTTTTTATGTCGTCTGCACTCCCTCCTGTTTCTTCATTGACTTTTGACCAGTCTTATTTTATTCTTCTTTACATCGTCTGGGAGCTGCTGGATTGATTTCTCGTGGTCTCTTACTGTTTTAAAGAAATTTTTCTTCTCCTGTTCACTAATTGCAATCTTATCTTCTATATCTGAAATTCTGTCCTCACATTGGCTCATTCTGCTGTGTAAACTTTCAATGGAGTTTTTAATCTCCTGGTAATCTGTTTGGATTTCTTTTATGGATTCCATTTGTTTCCTATGTTGGGATTCCATCATGTTCCTCTGCTCCTTTATTTTTTTTATCTGTGTCCTCTCTAGATTTATAATTATGTCTTGCACTATGGGCACAATCTCTGCTGTTATCTGAGAAATTATTTCTGATTTCATTTTTTTTCCAGATCCTCTTTCATTGCCAATTCAGGGAGTCCAAGTGGTTGAGTATCAATCAGATTGTTCCATCTCATTTCCCATTGAGGTTGCTTTAGGTGATCTGAAAGTCTGGTTTTGAGACTTGTTTAAGTGTCTTCTCATTTCAGTGGTGGGGGCAGGATGGAGGAGAATGTATGTTGCTGGTGCCCGTGCAGCTCACCTCCTTGGCACTGTACACCGTGGTACGGTGGCCTGGAAGGTTCACCTCCTCTGCACTGGGGTAGCTCTGCTCCTTGGCACTGGGGGTGGAGGTATGGTGGCCCGGAAGGTTCACCTCCTCTGCACTGGGGGCAAGTCAGCTCCTCGATGCTCGGGGCAGTAGTCATTTGCACACTTTAAACCTGTACTCTTCTCTGGCTATGTTGTACTCAGGGACATATTCCTGGCCCTGTAGGTACTTAACAACCACAGCTGGGCAGGTAATAATTGGCACTGAGGAACTATCCAGTACCCGACTGAATCAGCTCACTCATAGGAAGCCTGTGCTCCTGCACCCATCTCGCCTATTCTGTGAGCACCAGAGTAAGCCCCTTAGTCCCTCAAATTTGGTTCTTGGGGGGAAGGACATAGCCCACAGTGGACAGCCTGCCCTCATGAAGGTGCTAAAGATGTGTGCCACAGGCTACATCATGTTTACCTCTCAGGAGGCATAGGCCCCATATCAGGTTCAGTCATTACTAGCTCTGTTTAAAGAGACCCTTAAGTAGACACATTAATTCTCAAGCATGGTCAGGCAGCCTCACACCTCATCCTCCCAACAGACAACAAGTGTCCTGTGGTGCTCATGGCCAGCCAGATTCCAGGAACTATACAGGGATGACTTGACAGCCCCTGCATTCCCCACATCTCTCTCATGGTTTCTTCTTGGGCTTCAAGGCATCCCTGCTCACTACACCTGTCCCTGCCTGTCCAGCACCTCCTACTCCATTTAACCAAGGAATGAAGGTTTGTCTAGTCTTACCAGATCAGACCCACACCTAGGCTAGACTGAATGCTCAGAGCTACATGCTGTCCGAGGAGGTTCCAGGGCTATGTCCCCATGGACAGATGGCAGTGGTGCAAGAAGCCAGGGAGCTGGCCTTACCTGCCCTCTAGTGAAAGAGACCTGGGCCCCTTTTCAGTTTAATTATCTTCTAATTTTCAGATAAAACAAATGGAGATGGAGGAGGCCCGGCTGAAGCACGATGTCCAGGATGCAAAGGATCAGAATGAGTTGCTGGAGTTCAGGATCCTGGAGCTCGAGGTAGAGGCTGTGGGGCTGCAGGCTGGCACTGAGGTGGCCCAGCTGCAGGGCCCTGAGATGAGGTACCTTCCTTGGGCCTCTAAACCTTTATGAGCCTTTGAACAGCCTCCAAAAAGGCCAGGCTGGAAAGGAAAGGGACAAGTGCTATAAACTACATCTCCTAGGAGGGATGAGGCCAGCGAGGCAAAGTGAACATAATCTGGAGTACAGGCATGGAACTCAACATCACAAAGGGAAAACAAAAGCAAAGCAAAACACACAAAAAGACCAGTGCCAGCATCCAGATCTGTGGGGCCTCAACAGTCAGGACAATGTCCTCAGCTTATCACTGTGGCTGCAGTGGCATTGGTGGCAATGAGTGGCAGGGATTGTACCCAGACCTCACTAGTTAACCCAGCAGACATTTATTTCTTGCTCCTAGAAGCCTCTGAGTAGTATCAGAGGATGCCACGTAGTGATTGGGCATCCTTCAGCTCTGCCCAACATCCCTGGCCCCAAGTCCTCTGCTGTGACAGAGAAGGGAAGGAGGGAGCAAGAATCCTTCGGGAAGGTCAGACTGGGTGTGGGTGGCCATATCACCATGGTCACCTTCCACTGTGAGAGTGGCTGGGTAGTGTGGCCCGTCTGCAAGGCCAAGAGGAAGTGGCCTGTGCAGGTGTTACACCTCATGGTCACCCTAAATGCACTAGCCTCCATCTGGGTCCAGTGGGCTGAAGCCTTCTCAGAGTCCAGATGGATCCTCAGAGTCCTCTTGTCCACCTCCCTGGGGGTAGGATGATAGTGTGGCCACTCCATGTAGATGACTTTCTCTGGCAGGCCCATGAGTCACTGTCCATGTTTGGCCTCTCCCCTAAGCCTCTAGGCAGCCCCCTGGGGTTCACCAGTGCATAAGCAAGTGGCTCTGGGTGGTCCCTACAAAGCCTACACAGGACCGCCATATCCATCTGGAGTGAGTGAACACACGGGTAATTTTCTTGGGCAAGTCCAGTAAGGTTTCTGCCATCAAGGCATCTGCAGGAGTTTAGTTTTCAGAAACACCATGTTGACTCCTCATTGTGTGGTTGTGGCCCATGTTCCCTGAGCCCCCGCACAACCCTATGTGGAGGGAGGAGATGGGGTGAGAACTGCCCACCATGCCAAGCCTTCTGCTTTCTGTCTTAGGAGAGGGAGAGGAAGTCGCCTGCCATCAACTTCCATCACACACCCTTCGTGGATGGGAAGAGCCCCCTCCAAGTGTACTGCGAGGCTGAAGGCGTGACGGTAAAGCCCTCCCCTGCCCCTGCCTGCACAGTCCCACCTGGCTGCTGCTCACCTGTCCCTCTCTTTGCCTCCTAGGACATCCTGGTTTCGGAGCTGATGAAGAAGCTGGACATCCTGGGGGATAACGCCGTAAGTGTATGTTGCTCTCCTGACTTGTGCATGCTCTTCATGATGGCCACCCCAGTCTAGCCCTTTGTGGTCCTGGGCCCCCTGTGAGTCTCACTGCAGTCCCACCTAGGCCACCCTACCAGAAGACCCACCCCCACTGCCAGCCAGGCCCAGAGCCTGCTTGGAACAAGAAATCTCTCATATTGTTCCTGTGCCATCAAGGTCTTTACTGTGTCTTCCAGCTAATGATACTTCCAATTACATGTTCTCAGTTTCTGAAATCTCTTTCAGCTCTTCCATATTCCCAGTGTTGCTCTAGACACCAAGACACTTGGGAGTTCCCATTTCCTTGATTTGGGGGAAGAAGCAGAGACTATAAATAACCCAAATTCTCTCTCTCTCTCTCTCTCTCTCTCTCTCTCTCTCTCTCTCTCTCTCTCTCTCTCTCTCTCTCTCTCTCTCTTTCTCTCTCTCCTCTCTCTTTTTGGTACCGGGGATCAAAACTCAGGACCTTGCACTTTTGAGGCAGGCGGCAGAACCTGCCTAAATCCCCGACCCAACCCCCAAATCTTGTTTGAGGCAGAGTTCCAATTTTAGCAGCAAACTTCTCAAAAGAATATTAATTACTAAGTGGGCAAAGTAACTACTCCCCTTCCTCTCATCCTCTGTCCATCATTTCACTACCCATTTGTCCATCCATCTTCTACCATATATCCATCCATTCCTTCTACCTTCTCTTCCTCCCCTCTTCCCTTCTTCCCTCCTCAGTCCACCATTCATTCATTCATTCATCCATCCACCTTCCATCCATCATGCATCCATCCTCCCTCTGCCACCCATCCATCCATCCTCTATCCACCTTCCCACATTCATTTCACCCTCCCAGGCCTCTGTGCAGGGCCTTGTGTTGACAGGAATCCCTTCTCTCTTTGCCCACCCATTTCCTGGGGAGTAGTGAGAAGCAGAATGGGAAGAAGTGCCCTGAAGGGAGGCTATTCTGGCTGTATCTGCTCCTCACCCAGACCTGGTAGTTCCATCATGGCCACAGGTAGTAAAGCACCACCATATCCCACAGCAGGGATGCTTGTGGGTGCAATATGTTCTGGGGTCCAATTGTAGGCACCAATCCCTGTCATGGGCTCTTGGGAATCATACTGGGAACCCCTTGATTCACAGCTGGAGAAACTGAGAGCACAGAAGGCATCTGCCCAGGCTCACAGATCTGATATAGTGGCAGAGTTAGGGTTATAGTCCTGGGCAGTCCTGTTTCAGGGCTCCTCTTCCACCCAGTAGCTAGCCACTCAAGAGCAAAGCCAAGCATAAATGACCTGGAGCCATCACATAGCCTCTGAGGTCACTCTCACACAGCACAGAGATAGAAGAACTTGGGGACTAGAGGGCCTGTGGCCAGGTTTTATACTCAGGAGACCCTATGGAGACTCCTGGCAGTTCCTGCTGAGTGAAGGAGGCATCCCTTAATTTTTGACTGCAGTCCAGGTCAGGCAAATGTCACATGTACCTTGTGATCCAGGACTATGCTCCTTGGAGTCTGAGCCTGAAGGTCCCCTCTTGGAGCACAAAGTGGCTGTGAGGAAATAGGTGACCATCACTTACACAGCAGGGCATGCTGGTGCTGAGGCTGCCACATTCAGACCAGCCCCAGCAAAGGCTATAGTCACTTTCTTGGAAACCTGAACCCCAGAACAGCTCCCACCTGCCTCAGTTTCCTCAGTAGCCAGGGACCCAGGGTGCAGAATTGAGGCTCATCCTCTCTAGCAGGTGGCACCACTTGTGCTGCCCCACCTGAGCTGTCACACCTGGGCTGCAGGGCCAGGTCACTTGCGGAAGGAAGCAAGAGGCTGTAAGGCAGAGTAGATAGAGCTTTGCTGAGGCTGAGGCATCAGGATGTGGCCACCAGTGGGTCAGAGGGCCAGGCCGCTCACCAAGAGGGATGCATGGGGCCTATCACCCTGCTTTGACAATGCCTGGGTTTTTATCCACATTCAGATAGATTCCCTTAGTTACTCTGAAGCCACTGGCTAAGCCTTCCCCTCACCATTCTCCTGTCACTGCCCAGCTCTGTCCTGTGAGGAGGGAGGTGTAAGCAGCCTAGCTGGCTTCCAAAGCACCAGGCCCACTCCAAACCCCAGCTAATGATGACCTCCTCGTGCCTACCCCCAGCTGGCCTTTTACTTATAGCTGTCAGTCACCAGCCCCAACTTGAGAAACCTTGTTTTGACTTTGGAGGTGGAGGAAAGCAAGAGATATCTCATCCACTAGGAAGAGAATGGTATAGACAGAGTTTTCTGAGTCCTGATCTGAATCAGGGAGGTTCTGGGGTTGAGCAAGGGGCTCAACCTCCTCCTGCTCCAGCTCCTGCTCCTCATGTCCTCCACCCATTGCTGGTGTCCTGTGTATAAGGGGTCAGGCAGCCAGATCCTAATGCCAGAAGCAGCTGGGTTATAATTGTGTGAAGTGCCTACATCCTTGGAGGATGCTCATTTGGCCCTAAAGCCAGACTGAAGTGCCCCAAAACACAAAGTATGAATAAAACATGCAGAAAAAAGGGCAGAAATGTCAGGGATTGGAACCATTTCACAGCCAGCTATACTTGATCTTCCTTTGAGGCTTCAGATGCAAAGTACTAGCTTTAAGCAGATCAGGAAATGGACAGAATGGGGAAGCTCTGTCACCAAGATGCAGTCAAGGCCTCCTGCTAGTGAACCTGCCCAAGCTGTTCACTTAGACCTTTGTGGTTCCAGCTGTGAGAGCATGAAATGGACAGTGTCTCCCAAGAGAACAGGTCAAGGACAAAGGGTATCAGAGGTCCCAGGAGGATTTTTCAGTTAAAGCATCATTTAGCTGTAATCCCACCCACTTGCATCCATCCCATCAGTCTCTCCATGCATCCATCATTCAGCCCCACATTGTAGGAAGACACTGCTTCTAACTACACATGTGTTCTGCTTCTGGGTGCAGAATCTGACCAATGAAGAGCAAGTGGTTGTCATACAAGCCAGGACAGTCTTGACCTTGGCAGAGAAGGTAACAGCAACTGTGTAGATACTGGGGAGAGGGCTGGTCTCTTGCAGACCTCCCTGGCCTTGCTCAGCCCAGAGAAGATGTTCTCCCTGGGAGGAGAGAGCCACGGGATGTGGGGCCCACTAAGTTCTGTTTGCCCTGGGAGATAGATCAAATAGCATGCACTGTGAACCTCTACAAAGGTGGGTTCAACCAGACATTGACACTATCAGCCCTGCCTCATTCTTTTCTCAAAGGCTGGAAGCTATGCAATATCTGTAAAACTGTCCACCTTCCCTGATTGACTTGCCAGGCTTCCTTTTGGGGTTCCCCAGCCCATTAGCCCACCTTTTGCCCACCTCCCAGGCCTACTGAGTGGGTCACTGTCAGATCTCCAGCAGCGGAGGGAAGGGATGCTCCTTGGCAAATAGGGGTTCAAGTAAATGAGCTGGCTCTCCCCACCTCTCCTGGCAGAGCTCCACAGATGTGCCTGTTCCTGCTGCACCCCAAACCAGTGTCTCTCCCCTCCTGGGGAAGGGGTGTGTCAGAATTCCTGGACACCAGGAGGGGTGGACAGGTGGGGCCGATGCCAGAATGGTTCATGGATCCCATGGTGCCAGCCCAGCCCCAACTCCCCTCCCTGACTCTGACCTCCTTCCATCCTCTCCCAGGCTGTCTCCATGGATCAAGGAAGGGGGGTAGCATTGGTGCCTGTGTGGGTGACCCAAGGGGTCACTGTAACGTACTTACTCTGTTTTGCCCAGTGGCTCCAGCGGATTGAAGAGACTGAGTCTGCACTGCATCGGAAGATGCTGGATCTGGAGAGTGAGAAGGTTGGTAGTGTCCCCCACCCCCAATCTGGTCACCCTGCAGCTCAGCATCTCCAGCCTGGGTACCTGAGGCCAAGACCCAGGTTGTCTTTTGTTTCAGGATCTGTTCAGTAAACAGAAGGGCTACCTGGATGAGGAGCTGGACTATAGGAAGCAGGCCTTGGACCAAGCCCACAAGGTAAGAGAAATGAAGCTGAGTGTGTGCTCACATGCCCAGAGGTGTGTCTCCGTTTCCTTCACAGCCCAGGGCTCAGGGAACTGCCAGGAAGTGCCCAAACTCATTGCACGGTCACTTTCTGCCCCTCTTCACCGAAACCCCTTTATCTGTGAATTCTGGGAGTATTTGACTGCCATGTCAGCAAAGGCTTTGAGAGTGCCGGCACATGAGAATTCACATGGATGTGTGAATGAGTTAATAAGATAAAATTCATTGGAAAATAATGCACTTATAACAATTTACAGTGGTACTTCAGTTCATGAACTTAATTTGTTTTAAAATTTTGAGGAAAATGGCTACATTTGTGTTTGTGTGGGGAACATGGCCATCATTGTGTTTGTCACTCAATGCAGAGTTAGCAAACAGAAGCAAAGTTTTGGCAAATGCTTTTGTTTGCAAACCAAATTGTTTGCAAATAGAAGAATTTGTGAACCAAGATATTACTGTAATTGGACATAGTTAGATGTTGATATGTAGTATCATTCTATGAAGAACTCTGCTTTGTTTACCTACCATTTGGAGGAATGCAAGTTTTATCTGTACTGCATATCCAGTTACCCCCTTAGAAACCATTTCCCCTGATGATAAAACTAAAGGTAATGCCCCCACTTGGGGCTTACACTGAGAGCCCAGAGATGCTTCATGAGTGCTTATATTAGTCTGTGTTCTGTTGCTATAACAAAACACCAGAGGCTGAGCAATGTATAATAAAAGGTTTATTCGGCTCACAGTTCTAGAGGCCTACATCCCAAGAACAGGAGAGCCCATCTGTTCTCTGCTGGGAGCCTTCTCTCTACATCTCAACATGGTATCATGCATGGTATCATGGCAGGGGTGCAATGGAGAGAGAGAGATCACAGGATGAGACAGAAAGTCAGATGGATTCAGGAGCCAAGCTTGCTCTTTTTTTTATCTCAGTTTGCTCTCACAGGAATTAACTAACATTCTATCCCATGAGAACTATTGTACATTAATCCCTTCCAAGGGCAGCACCCCAGTGCCCTAATGACTTCCCATTAGAGCCATCTCTTAAAGATTCCACCATTCAACCCCACCATTCTGGGGACCAAGCTTCCAGCATGAACCTTCCAGGGACACATGCAAACCACATCCAATTCATAATAACACTTATTTCTATCACCTTGAGTCAGTCCTCATTGAGGTCAGCTTGAGAACATGAAAAGGAATTTCCTTTGAACATCTATCCCTTTCTGCTTCAGGAGGTACACATGAATCAAGCATTGCATTATAGTCTTCTAGTTGGTATGACAAAGCCACATGGCACTAGAGGGCTCTCACATCCATCTGTGCCTCCCTTGACCATAGAACAGAGGGACAGGACAACGACATGTTACTGGGGACCAAGAAGCTTTGTGCACTTAGGGACAGCATCATATCCTGAGGCCACATGCATCATTAACTTGTGGTAATTGGCACCTGCCCACCAAGGCTTTGGCTTTCCAGAGCAAACTGGCTGGCTCTTCATGTGTATCTTCATAAATAGAACAAGAGTGGCCGAGAAAAACTAAATTCATACTATGCAGTGAGGATGCTCCACTGCTCATAAACGTTGTTCAGGCATCCGTGTTGCCTGATGTCTCCTTTCTGCTCTGAGGATCTGGCGAAGACAGTGGCCATCATGGTAGGATTTCTTCTATAGCTACCTGCTTGCTGCAAAGAGTGTGGTCTTATTCTGCGCTGGGTGTTGTGACTAGGATGAGCATAGGGCACTGCTAAGTTGAGCATTGAGCAGAGCTAGGCTTCCTCTTTTACCAGGATACTGCCAGACATCCTTGATAGTAGCCTGGGCACTCACACAATAGTCACCATCACACTCCTGTGACTTCACATGCAGTTGTTTCCTGCTGAACTCCCTTACATCTGAGGGAGAATACTACCAAGAAGTGTTCAGGCCCTGATCTGATGAATATAAAGGCATTGCCACTGAGACATTCACCTGGACAGCCAGTGCAGCAGGCAGGACCCCAGCCCTCATGTCTATAAGAAGACATCCTCAGCCACTCAAAACATGGATGGGATGAAGCTGTTCATTCTTGGGGCCCAACTTTCAGAGTGATGATGATAATAATGATAGTGATGATGGTAATGGTGATGGTGATGATAGTGATGATGATGGAGGTGGTGATGATGGTAATGGTAATGACGACGTTGATGATGACAGTAATGATCATGGTGGTGTTGACAGTGATCGTGATGATTATGCTGGTGGTGATGATTGTGATCCTGATGGTGGTGATGATGATGATGGTGGTGACGATGGTAGCGGTGATGATGGTGTTGCTGCTGCCCCTTTTGAAGTGCCATTCTTGTTTTTAAAACTCAGTGCATAAACAGGACTCTTTTCATTGTGCAATTACCCTTTGCTGTTACACAGGAGAAAGGTTGTGTATCCATTGTGATGGTGGCTGCTCTAGAGGTGCTACTAGTTCGGATCTTGTTTCCACAAGGCAAGGACCAGGGAAGGCTGTGTAGTTTCACTGGAGGCAGAGGCAGCCCTCCTCGTAGCCCATGGTTCGTGCCCTTTTTTAATGTCCTTGATTGTAGAGATGCTCATGATAAAGTCCCCATTAGCAAGTACACAAGAAGCCCTGAGACGTTAACTCTAAGGCTATGCTCAACCATACTTGCTTTAAAAGACAAGAGCTTAGAGGCTGGGGTGCAGCTCTGGGTAGAGCACTTACCTGGCATTCCATGGGTTTAATCTCTGGTGTCTCTCTCTCTCTCTCTCTCTCACACACACACACACACACACACAGCCACACAGAACTAGGGCTTGTTTTAAACATCCTAAACTCTTTTGCTCTGAGAAGTGGCAATTAATGCAGGATGATGAGCACAATGGGACAGTTTATTTTGTGACTGTTAACAATACAATGTAACTGAAGCCCAAGAGGGTGTTTTTAATTTTCTAAATTTCTACTAAACCAAAGAAGTTTCATAGTTATTTTGCCTGAAGAGAACATCCATTTCTGAATATGTTACATTTTTGATGGGAAGAAAGAGCCCATCAAAATGAGAATTTTAATGAGAATTTGGTTTTTTCAAAGATTGTATCAAAAAGTTTCCTAAAGTGAAAGTTTAAAAGTATTCCAGATTAAAGTGATGCACCATGGGGATTTATGAAAAGCTATGTTCGGGCTGCTGAGATAAGGCAAGTCATCATTTTCCATCCATCCATGGAGGTCTCAATCCTGAGCTAGAGTGTTGGGAAGCAGCTTTCAGTTCTTCTCTGTGACACCAGCCCCTGATGGTGTCCTTTCCCATCTTTGTTTTTTTTGGTACTGGGGATCGAACTCGGGACCTTGCGCTTGAGAGGCAGGCGGCGAAACCACTGAGCTAAATCCCCGGCCCCTGTCCTTTCCCATCTTGCTGTGGCCCCTGCTGGTGTCCTTTTCTGTCTTGCTGTGACCCCAGTACACTTTCTGGCCATGCTGCCCTCAGCCCATAGCTGGGACCTCCCGCTTCTCAGGCCCTTCAGAACTCATTCCTGCTCCCGACCTCTGAGTCAGGCATCAGCCCAACTTGAGGCTTCCCTGTCTTCATGAGCACGTCACAGCTCAGCTTCTCTTCTCCTAGGGCATTGGTGGCAAACCTATGGCAGGAGTGATGCAGCAAGCTGTTTGTGTTTTTGAAAGCTTTAAAAGGTTCACCATCACTGTCCTAGAGTCTTCTGCTGGATGGGAGGATCCCTCTATCTGGGACTCCAGGTCCTTCCCCCAGAGACCCATGGGCACCCTGTGGCTCCCGAAGGGGGGCAACCTGGTCTCCCTTGCTTGTTCTGAAAGGCGCACCTCTCCAGCCCTGGGGAGGTTTTGGGGAGAAGAGGAGGACTAATGCACCTCCCTTCGGTCTGCAGCACATCCTAGAGCTGGAAGCCATGCTGTACGATGCCCTGCAGCAAGAGGCTGGGGCCAAAGTGGCAGAGCTGCTGTCAGAAGAGGAGCGTGAGAAGCTCAAGGTGGCTGTGGAGCAGTGGAAGCGCCAGGTCATGAGTGAGCTGCGGGAGCGGGATGCACAGATCCTGCGGGAGCGCATGGAACTGCTGCAGCTAGCACAGCAGGTATGTGGACTGGTGCGGGCCAAGAGGGCTAGGTCCAAAGAGGAGGGCCAGACCTCCCCATGGCCCAACTTTGCAACGGCCACATCTGCAATGGCCACGCCCGTGACCACACCCTCTGGCAACCGCACCCTTTCATGGTCACACTCATGTCCCCACCCTCTGGCCAGACTGCTGTCTGCTGGTTGTGTTTCTGAAGCCTGTGGGTGATACTTCCCCTATTTTGGGCCACTCTTTCAGTTCCTCTTTGTGACACCGGCCCCTGAGGTTACCATCAGAGCATTGTCTGGGGACACAGCTGGTAGGCCCAGGCCCTCTGGGCTAGTTCAGTTTTAATGGGACGTGAGGAACCCTGGCAGGCTGAACATCCCTGATGTTTACATACACACCAGCTCTCCGTTGTGCCAGGTTGGTCTAGAAGTAGCTTCTGTGGATGTGTCCCACGCTGAGAACACCCCAAAAGCAAAGATTTGGATAGTAGATTCAGATAAACTACCACACCGTACACTAGCTTACTGTGACAGGGGGCTAACATCTGACAGAGGATTCACCAGCTACTAGGACATGTGCTGCCAGTTCCTTTACTTATCAGCCTTGGGTCTCCAGAAGGGTCAGGGTGAGCACTGCTACCTGCAGCCCCTTGCTCCTTCAGATGGGTAGTGGTCAGCACTCACCTTCTTCCACACCCCCACGCCTCACCCTCAGAAAGAAAGTCTTCCTTAGGGACAATGGTTATGACCTGTAGCTGTCCTTTTCTCTGCTACAATGACTTGGGGGAGGATGGTGGACTGATTCTTTGCTGTGCCCTTGGGCATTGTGATTTTTGACCTATAGGTGTCAAAAGGATATTTCTTTGCCACAGGAGGTATGGCTATAGGGAAGGCCTTCTGCTCTCTTTGGACCAAAGATGGGAACTGGGGACAGCTGTGTGTCATGGTATGACATGGCCATGGTATGCTAGCTACTCTATGGCTGATTGTTCACCAAACAAATGAAGGACAATCTTGAAAGGCTTTTGGGGGGCTTAATTTCCCAAATACTCTGATTATTGAAGATTTTCTTCCTTTTAACATTACAGAGAATTAAAGAGTTAGAAGAAAGAATAGAAGCTCAGAAGAGACAAATTAAAGAACTAGAAGAAAAGGTAAAATAAATGTAATTTTCAGACCTGGTCTTATCCATGGAGTTATAGATAAAAGAACACAAGATAACTCAAAGTCATTCAGTGCTTGGTTCAGGGTAATACATAGGCTTGGCCTGTGGCATGTGAGCAAGAAGCCACTGCCTAAGTGAGTAGTGTAAGGAGAAAGGGGCATTGATTGGTGTGGGGACCAGAAGCCCTTACCATGATCCAGCCCTGCAGCCTCAGAGAAGCTATGCCTCTCATGGCCTCAGTTTTCCCTCTGGGGCTGTGGTGTTGGACTAATGTGTTAGCTTTCTGTGGCTGTGACAAAATACCTGAGAAAATCAACTGAGAGGAGGAAAGGCTTATTTTGGCTCATGATTTCAGAGGATTTAGTCCATAGTCAATCAGCTTCATTGCCTTTAGGCCTCAGGTGAGGCAAAAGCATTATGGCAGAGGGGCATGGCAGAGAAAAGCTTCTAACCTAATAGTAACCGGGAATCAGAAAGAAGGAAAGAGCCAGAGAAGGAGGGCTGGGGACCAGATAGAGTCCCCAGCTCATGACCTATGATTCACTCTCTTCCACTAAGCCTCATCTCCTGTTTCTGTTGCCTCTGTAAGGCCATAAACTTATGAATCCATCAATTGATTAATTCACTGATGAAGTTAGAGCCTTTATGATCTAATCACTTTCCAAAAGCCTCACCTCTGAATATGTGAAACTTTGGGGTACATTTTAGGTCCCAACCGTAATAATTAGTGACCTAATGCTCCTTTGTCAGGGCCCTGGACCGCACTGAAGCATCTGCCACTCAAGTTAAGGCCACTGGTCTAAAGATCAAGTACCTGAAAGGTGGGCTGTGGACCCTGAGAGCCACCACTCATACAATAAGCACCTCTTCCCGGTGGCCCTTGGAGCAGTTGTCTCCAGGTGCAGAAGCCCCCTGTGCTGAAGTATACTGCAGTTGGGCCACATGCTCATGTTCTTGTTCTGATCCCTGGGCTCTGTGAGACTGGGATCACAGGCATCTGTTGACTTGTGTTGACACACTCTGTGCTCCCCGGACCAAGGTGGAAGGGCACACCCAGAGAACTCTGACTCCCATGGGGATGGATCATTAAAGGAGCAGTTCTTCCTCTGTATATGATTTGGGGTTAGTTCAGTAATTTCCAGAGTCATTTCTCAATGATTGATCCTGCCTGTGAGGTAGATCTTACCAAAGTGACCAGTTCCCATTGAGCCCTGGTGGGACCCACCTGCCTGTCTTCTCCCTTCCAGAGAGAACAGGATGCTGGCATTTGGGCAAGACTGCTGTATGGGCAGCACCTCAGCAGGGTTGAGGAAAAGCCAGGAGATGCTGTCTGCTCTCCAGGAGAGACAGGCCCCTCCTGACAGCAGTCCCCTTTCACCTGGCCACTGGGCCTTCCCACCACCCACCACAGCCCTGCCTGCCCCTCCTCAGCAGTGACCCAAACTCCCCCATCTTCTGGGCACTTTACCACCCAGCAAACTTCTTGTACATGTGCAAATCCACCATGAGGAACGGCTAGAGCTTTGCAGAGCACAACCTGCACAACAAGGTTTGCAACAGGGACTCAGCAGCAACCTCATCGGGTGACACGGGCAAGCATCTGCCAGGCACAGGATGCCCAGAGGGGATGCAGTTCTCAGGGCTTGAGTTTGAAGAGAGCAATGTCTCCCCAAACCAAACATTTGCTTTGTTTTGTGTCTTAACTAGAGGGCATGTATTTGTATTAAGCAATGGAACAATTTTAAGTCAAGGGTTTGTTTTTTTAAATTTAGCTGAAGTGGTTCATTGTTTCTCAGCAATCCTGCCATTGCCAGATTTTCTCCTATGTCCATATTGCTCTGGCCCCACCCCTCAAAAAAAAAAACCAACCAAACAAACAAAAAACGATGCTTCCAAGTGTGAAATCCATGCAGGTTGCTATCACAACCAAAGTGTTGTCACAAGCATGCTCATATTTATTTACCAGGCACTTGGGATGTCTTTCCACCAGGGTGTCATCACCCTTACAGGTAGTACCCCCTGCACACATAAGCTCCTGATCCCAAGAGGCTGAGCTCACCTTGCCATACCAGCATGCCAGGCCTGGAGCCCCCAGCTGTGCCCACATCCTGGTTCAACATAGTGCTAGTCTGTGACATAGCCCTAGGGGTGGCAGCACATCACCATAAACCAGGGCTTCTCACGGCCTCCCACACGTGTGTCCTGACTGTGCCTGCTCCTCCCAGCTGGCTGCTCTGTCTTGCTCTGTCTGTAACCATGTCATTTCTTGCCAGAAACACTACAAACTCTTTTTCCCTTTCTCTTTCCTTCTGTTTCTCCATCCTCCCCTTTCCTTTTCAGTTTCTATTTTTGTTTTTATTTTTCTCCCTAGCTTTCATTCTCTGGTCATAGCTGGTCTTGGCACCCCGATGTGGTGAGTACTTTGTGGCTGGAGTTTTCTGGCAAGGTCCCACTTTGCTTCTGGGGAGACTGTGGGGCCCTTGCTGGCCAGGCAGCTGCCTGCCATCTGAGAAGTAGAAAGGCCACTCCTCGGGCCTCCAGGGGGCTGATTAGAAGGCCACTGTGCCCTTCAGAGCCCAGAAGTCCCTCCCTGGGGGTTGGGCTGCAGGATATACCTATAGACAAAAGCCACACACCTTGCTTGGTTACTGCTTCCTGCCCAGGCCAGATGAGAGGATACTTGGGTCACAGTGTCATTGTTTGCCTTAGTCCGTGGGCTCCACCCTTCAGTGGGTGCCTAAGGACCCTTCCTGGGAGCAGTGGGCACCCTCTTGTGCAGCCCCTTGTTCTTCTGACTGCAATGCTTTGCTTCTCTTTTCTTCCAGTCTCCCGTGGAGTCATACCCCTGTCCTCTAGTAGGACCAGAGAGCAGAGGATGCTGGCGACAAAGTGGGACATTGCACCTCATCTCTGAAGACCCCAAGGGGTTTGATCACTGTGCAGCCATCCTGTGCAGGATGAGGGGGAAGCAGAGGTTTGAGTGGGGGCCTCTGTCCACTCGGGATGAGCCAGAATCAGAACTAGCTTTGCTGGCTGGGGCTTCTCTGAGAGAGGCCTGGCCTTGGCTGCTGGCCCCTTGGGTCTCTCTTCTCGTAAGGCAGCCTCCATCCCAGTCATGGGGATGTGTGATGTTCCCTGCCGAGCAGGGGTAAGAGCCGCTCCGGTGCAGGAGCAAGCCCTCCTCCCGGTTACCATAGTAACTGTCCATGTCCTCTGAGGAAGAGCTTCAGAAATGACACAGGCTCATTCCCAATGACAAAATGAAGACTGTGACTTCAGTGGCAACCTCCATTCAGGGGAACCGGGCGGGTTCATGGGGACAGCCCAAGGAGGGTTCTCTGTGACACCCTCTGTGCACAGTGATGCCGAGACTCTCTCACCCGGGGCCCGAGCACTCACTGGTGGACAAATATCACACCCACCCTTGTTCTGTTACACTGTCCTCTCCATGGGGCCAGATGGGAGTTTTGGCTACTGCTGACCTCTTCACCCCACCTCAAGACATGAAGGCCAAAATCTGGCCCCAAACCACTGGCCAGGAGCACAGTGGGACCAGAGGAGGGATGAGGAGTGTGGTAAGGTGACATGAGATGAGGCTGCAGAGCCACCAGAAAGAAGCCTGATGCCAGAGGACATGGATGTGACCACACAGACCCAGAGACCAGATGCCTTGGGCACCCAGTACTACCCAGCCTGGAAGCTGTTCAGCAGGCCAGCTGGGCCTGGGGGCTGCAGATGGCCAGGGGTGCCCAAAGATGGCCCCGTCCAGAGCCTTTGCACACAAGGAGCAGGGCCCGGGTGAGGCTACACAAGTGCTTGTGGTTCTACAGATGCAAGAAGGGAGCCTGGAGTCCAGTGGCCCACAGGTGAGGCAATGACATCTGTCTACTAGGGGCAGCTTTTCATTCCTGCTCTGATTGGTGGCCCCATGCAGGGAAATATGCCTGCTTGTTCTCTTGGTTAAATATGTCCTTTCCAGCCCTGACAGGGAGTCCAGGATGACTGCTTAGGCTGGGAGAGTGGTGAGGCTCTGGGGTGTCTGCCTAGGTGGTGGAATACAGAGTTTCTTCGTTTTCACCTTTAGTCCATAGTCTGTGCACATGTGGCCCTCACCTTCTCATGCTTACCCAGACCCCCAAACACGCTCAAGTGCCCTCTGGAAAACCCACCTGAGCTGCCCAGGCGGCACCATATCCACCCCAGCACTGGGTGTTTCTGCCAAGGTGGGCTCCAGCCCTATCCTGCTCCCAGAACCCTCAACAAAGGAAGCGTCTTCCTTTATCTCATGGAGCATTCTGCCTGTGGCCATGAGCCCCTAAGCAGGGATTTTTCCTGTACTCTGCAGGCAGTGATGTGCTGAGCTGAATAGCAAGGCACCTTCTTCCCCCATTCCTCCAAACAGGAAGCATTTCCCCAGTGATCCTCCCACACCATCCTGCTCTGTGGATCGCAAAAGCAGCTACTGTGTGACTGAAAACAATGGTTTCCCTCTACTGCACAGCTCTTAAGAGAGATTTGCTCTAGAAGGGAGCAGGAGACAGCCTGGCCCAGCCCTGGCCCAGCGATGCCACCATGAACCACATGAGGGCGTTCTGGCCTAACAAGCTCTGACCTACTTGCCTCCCACTGACTACTAGGCACTGGGCTCTGTCTTTTAGAACTTCTGTGAAAAGCCTGTGTGCTGCCAGCTGCAGTTGCATTTCTGATTGCTCGGCAAGGAGAGCCTCACTCTCAGATTATCGTGCCTCAGGTTTCAAAAGTCACCTGTAGCCAGGTGAAGGACATTAAACACAGATCAGCGCTGTGCCACACACATGTCCTCAGACCCACTAGGGAGGCCCCCAAAGTGGCAGGGCACACCTGTTCCACTGGTATCTCATTCTCCAGCTTCTGGAAGGCCAGGCTGTGGCTCTCACTCACAGTGTGTGGGGCAGGTGGACCTCAAGGACTTGGAAAGCCACTCTGCCCAAAGCCTGAGCAGGTTCCAAGTGGAGGGGAGCCGGGGCCAGGTGAGGAGGGATGGGGGTGGGGCAGGCTAAGCCCCATTCACAGATGCCCCTCACCTATCTCTAGGACTGGACATTGGTGACAGCGTCCCCGTTCAGAGCCATTTTGTGGGTTCTGAAGCCAGAGGTGCCTCAGACCATCTCCTACTCCTGGGGTGCTTACCTTGTGATGGTGAGGGTGGAGGAGCCATATGGTCATCAGGGAAGCACAGTGGGGTGTTACAGGCACAGTGGAGATCAGCTGCACGGTCGCCTTTAGGCTCAGGGGCTGACATCTGCAAAAGAGCCTTGGGGCCAGGATCAGACACCCTCAAAGGGAGATCATTTTCCAATGCTCTTTGGAGAAGGGTTCAATTCTGTATCTGGCACAGGGACTATAGAGGGTGAAGGGAATTTTCTCCCACCCCAGCCGCCACCCTTCAAGGATCAGAGAAATAGCTCTGAAACACGAGACCAAGTAGGGGAAAATTACACATGCTGGTTGGCACCAAGCCACCCATTTGCACCAGGAAGCAGCATCAGCCCTGGATGCTCAATGAGGGCTGCTCATCGTGGCCCAGTAATTGCCTCTGATAGGACAGGGACAGGACCAGTGGACAGAAAGGCTGTAGCTACCCAGCAGCTCCCAAGAGCAGGTTTCGAGAGGGGAACAGAGCCACCTCCTGAGGCTCCTGCATGGCAGGTGCAGAGCTGGGCTGTGGATGTCCAACCTGAGGGTGATGTCTGTCCTTCTGGGGTTTTCTTCCATGATGTTCAGGTCGTCAGTCTCCAGCCTGAGTTTCAAGAACATCTCTATCCCTTCAGTCAGTGACAGTTTTATAGTTTTCCCCCATTGTTTTTGACCTTGACACTTGAATGAGAATGAGCCAGAATGTCCCACAATTTTATTCATCTTAGGCTTTCTCATGATTAGTTTGAAGTTACGCATTTTTGGCAAGAATACTGCAGAAGTAATGACCTTCATGCACCTCACGAGGCAGTGCTTGAGGTCATTACATTTTATCTTTGATGGCATTGTTAAAGTAAGCCCGTCAGCTTCTCTGCCTCAAAGGTGCTCTTGGTAATTAATACATGTAGTGGGGAGAGATATGTTCAGACCAAATTTTACCCACTACTTTTGGCACCCATCAGTGGATCTCTCCTGAAACAGTGATGACTGTGGTGTTCTCATGGGGACTTTCTATCCCCTGTTCTTTCCATTTTATTAAGTAGAATTTTTCTGTAAAGAAGACTTGTCCCTTCTTTCCCATTCCTTTATTTATTCAGTTATTGCTATCTGCGTGGACTATATAATTTATTCCGTGGGTTATAATCTAGTACAATCACTAACTTTATTGCTTAAATGCTGCAGCCAGAGTCTTTGAGTGTTTTTTCAAGTAGGTGCCTGTGTCCCTCTACATGCCCCTTCCTTACATTTTGTCCCCACAAAGTGCCACAGGCTCTTATATCTTGTATTATCACTGCACCAGGCCTGGAATTTATCCTTTCACCAATGAGCACTAGTCCCATTTGTTGGAGAATAGTATTTAGAAACCAGGATCTTTAGATCTGTGTGTGCTCACTGCTTCCCAAGGTGACATCATCTCCAGGGCCTCTCAGGGACAGAGGTTGGAAATATATGTACCTGTTCTAACTTATGCACACCCATTCATCTGTTTGTCTAGCTATCTATATACTCATCATTTATCTATCCATCCATCATCTACCTATCATCCATCCATCATCTGTCTCTCTCTACACATCTATAGCTATCCATTAAAAATCATCCCTATCTATCTATCATCTACCATATCATCTACTATAAGACCATGAGTTCATAAAGACGCCTCCAATTCCAGACCAACAATACAAAGTTTATTCTGGCCTCTTCTTTTCCCTTCATTATTTATAACTTCTTCCATTGATGGCGGTGGGACACTTGGCTCTCACTATCTGCAATATATTTGCTGATTTGTTTAATCCTAGTATATGCACAGAGTCAATTTAGAATTGCTAACCCATTCCCTGTAAGAGTCAAATTCACTAACTCGAGTATTTGCGTACACTTCTGTTTGTTGTTGACCTTACAGAGTCCAGATGAAATATTGTTCTCCAAAATAAGTTAGTTCAGGCCTTTTCCATACTTTGAAAGGTACTTATGCTACTTGTTCATAAAAAGAGTTAGGCTCCTTTGTTATGGCTCTTATTCCATTTACACCACGTATTGATTTTTAAATTAAACTTACACATGGTAAAGATTCCTGTTTTTGCTTGTTGGTTGTGGTTCTTTGGGTCTTTTTTTTTGGTACCGGGGATCGAACTTGGGACCTTGCACTTGCAAGGCAGGTGCTGGAACCCTGAGCTAAATCCCTGGCCCGATTCTTTAGGTTTTGACACATGCATAGTGTATGAATCCACCACCACAATCCTGACACAGATAATCAGTCCAGACTGTCTCTTGCTATCTTCTGCTGTCACTTCCTTCCAGCCCGCCCCTGGCAAACCTGATCTGTTTTCCATCCTTTCAGTTTTGCCATTTCCAAGCTATATGAATGAAAGCTTATAATATGTAGCTTTGGGATCTAACTTTGTTCATTTATTGAAGCCTACTTCAGACTCCTTTGTGCTGCTGTGTGAGTTGCCAGTTTGTTCCTTTTTGCTCCTGAGTAGCACTCCAAGTACATGTGGGTACTGCCATGTAGCCAGTTGCTAACTGAAGGGCATTTGGGTTGTTTCCAGTTTGAGGCAATTATGAGTAGAACTGCTACAAACATTTGTGTGTAGGTTTTCATATGGATGTGGACATTCATTTTTCTTGGGTAAAGACCTAGGATTGGGATTGTTGGCTCATATGGTAAGTGTGTGTTTAATTTTATAAAAAACTTTTTTTCAAAGCATTTTCCATTCCTACCAGAATACAAGAGTTCCTGTGCCTCACATCCTCATTGATACTTAATATGGGTTTTGAGTTGTTTTTATTTTTAGCCCATTCTAATAGGGGTGTAGCAGTATCTCATTTGGTTTTTAATTGATATTTCTAATTGATATTTTAATTGATCTGGAATCTTGAAGTATGTTAGCACGTTAACCATCAGTAGACTCAGATTTTCCAATTATGTTCAGCACTTTTTGTGTGTTGATTTTCCAATAGCATATTTTCTTTGTGAGGTATCTATTCAAAGGCATTTCCTCCAAGTCCCTCTGCTGTCTTTTTGTTCTTTTAACAGTGTCCTGTGAAGAGGAGTTCTTAATTTTGACGAAGTCTCATTTATCAACTTCTATAAGAGCTTGTGCTTTTTGGTGTTGAAGCAAACAAACAAAAACATTGCCTTACTCCAAGTTACAAATGTTTTCTCTTAGAATGTTATGGTTTTGTATCTTACATTTAAAATTTTGAGCTAATTTTTACTGATGGGCACAGTGTGGGTAGAGGTTTGTTTTCTGTGGATGTCTTTTCCTCTGTGTCCTTGTCCCCATCCCCATGGTAGAGAACTCTTCCTCCCCTTCTGCCTGGCTGCAGCAAGCCCCGTCTTTGGGGTGAACATGTCCTGGCTGGAGTGCCCCCACTCCATTGCCACACACTGGAAACCAGAGGGGTAAGGGAGCTGCTGCCTCTGGCGTTTTCGTGCTGATGGAGCCAGACTCTCTGTTCCCCCTTTGATTCTGGGGGATAGCGCTGGATCTCCAGGGACTGCTTGTGCCAGCACAGGATCTGGAAGCTTGAAGTGCATTAGATTAACTGTCAACAGACTCCGATTTACAGCTCCTAACAGAGCCAGTGCCTGAATGCCAATGAGCAGCCTACGCCTTCTGAGCTCGGTCACAGGCAGCTTACACTGTGCGGTGGCCCAGACAGGCCAGAAATGATGGCTGCATTGTCA